GTCTGTAACTCGAGTATTTTAAAAATAGTAAAGATTCCCCCAATTGTGTATATGTAAACACATATTATACTGCTGGGCATTTAGCTCAGTGGTGCCACTGCCTGCCTTGACAATGCAAGGTCCTGAGTTCAATCCCTGGTACCAAAACACCAAAAAAACCCCACCCCAAAACACATATTATAAATATTTTCATGTGCATGGGGAAAGAGAAAAGAAGAGCTATTGATCCTCATTTTAGATGGTGCCCAATCTATACTGTTTTAGGATAGTGATTTTATAGTAAAACTGACACTATTTCTACATGAAAATGTAGGGCTTTAACTACCTCATTGATATATATGTACCATGGTAGCTCATCTTTTCTTGTTTATGACAGGCCTAGTACTTTGTTCTCACACTAAAGACCCCCCCCCCGCCTCATGTTGTTTCAGGAAAACGCTGATCGATAAAATACAAAGTACTTGTTTGAAAGTGAAGGTGAAGTCCAAGCTCAGTGGCCTAGGCTATGGTAAAATACTAGTTCAGCATTTTAGAAAACTGCATTTGTTTTCATATTAAAAGTACATGTTGGTGAACCTTTTTTGGTTTATACTCCAGATTTCAAAATGAGAATGACTTCATCTCTGCCATTGTACTTACACTTATACTCTAGCTAGCCATGCTAAGGAAGAAATTTGGGGCAAAGTGTGATAAGTAAACAGAGTAAAAACTGAAGGAAAGTAGAGAACAAATGAATGTAGAGGGGACAGAGAGAGGCTAAGCTGGCGCTGAGCGTATGAGACAGTGGTGAGAGGACCTGTTGCGGGGAAACTTCAGAGCACGACATCTGCGGGGCAAAAATGTATCCATCATCAGGGCTCAACCAATACGCAATAGATTTTTATTTTTTAAATGTCATGATTTTACTGTTGATACACTGGGAGAGCCTACCCATAGCATTTATCAATACACTGTATAGCAGTTTTGGAAGTATCTATATAAAGCTGATAACCTCAGAGAGAAAAAGAGATAGCAGACTAATTATGTTTAACTTTTCATTTTAATAGATACTACTCAAAAGAAGTACAAATGGCCAATAGGTACATGAGAAAATATTCAGCAACTTTGGCCATTAGAGAAATGCAAATCAGAACAACACTAAGATTCCATCTTACTCCAGAAAGAATGGTTATCATCAAGAACTCAAAAAACAACAAATGCTAGTGAGGCTGTGGGGGAAAAGGAACACTTCTACGTTGTTGGTGGGAATCCAAACTCATACAACTACTAGGAAATTAGTATGGAGTTTCCTCAAAAAAACTAAACATATAAACTCCATTTGAGTCAGCTATAGATACTTCTTCTGGGTATCTTCCGGAAAGAGTTAACATCATATTACAGTGATACATATCCACCCATATTTACAGCAGCACAACTCACAATAGCTAAATCTTGGAAGCAGCCTGTATGTCCATGAATAGATGGATGGATAAACAATATGGTGTATCTATACACAATGGAGTACTACTCAGCTATAATGGAGGATAAAGTTGAGTCATTTGTAGGCAAATTGATGCATCTTGAGTTCATAATGCTAATGAAAGAAATCAGATGCACAAGGTTGACTATCACATGGTTTCTCTTATATGAAAAATACAAAATAGAAATAATTTAAGAGCAAAATAAAAGATAGATAATAGGAAACAGGGAGCTAGACTTTGTGGAGATGGAAAGGGTGACTGGAAAGGGGTAGAAGGGAGGGGCAGGGAAGAGGAAGTAAAAATGATCAAATTCCATGTGTATACATACCAATTCCCCACAATAAATGAATTTATTACGTATTGCAAACATAGACTAATACAATTTTTACAAAAAATTTCAGGGGCTAGTGGCATCATTCAGTAGCAGAGGACTTGTCTAGCATGCATGAGGCCCTTGATTTGCAACTGGAAAAAAAAAGAATTTCTCTTCTTTTTCTCCAGCAAATAAAAACGTATTTGTATTCATCCAAGTCTATTTGAACTTGAAACCCATAACCTAATAAACAAGGCTACGCTAAAGACTCTTGTTAACATATACAGTTGCAAATAAGTTTTCAAGAATAAAAATATAAGTAAGGCATTTAATAAATGTGTACTGTCATAGCTCTATAACATATTTTCTTGATAAGATGAAAGAACTGCGTCTACAGAAGAGAACAAATAACCTGAAAATTTTGCATTTTTTGTAGTAGTGGTTTTGAATAAATCTTGTGTATATTTAAATATGTTGCTAATTGGTGCCTCTCACACCTTGAAGATGTCAGTGGTTCATAAATCTTTCCAGAATTGGGGGAAACATATATAGTTGATGTCGACATCAGTTTACAAAGACTTAGAGTCATCGGTGAGTGGTTAAGTGAATCATATCTGTTGTGGTCCAAGCAAGAAGTTGCTACTTTCGAGTTTTGTGTGTCTTATTCATGCGTTCCACACAGCCCTTGTCACCTGCCATTTGCCCTGTGATTGAATGTGTATTTATTATTAGACAGCTTAAGTGACAGTTTAAATTCTTTTTTAGTAGAAACAAAGTCTTTGTTTAAAAATAAAGTTTTAAAGGCAATTAGTTTAAGTACATTCATATAAAAAGTGTTTGCATATAACACTTACATTTTGAAGTTACATTAGCTCTTTTCTTTTATAAATTAGTGAATCCTGATGGTATCACATAATAGAGTCACCATTTTCTGTTTTTGTCTCACTTCTCTTGAAGCAATTTACCAAAAAGTATAGTTTGAGTGGCTCAGGAAAAGTTCACAGATGGCAATTTGACCATCAGTTTTAGCTACCGATAAGATTTATTGTTTAAAGTCTAAGCTACTGAAATAAGAAATGTAAGGTATACATTGCCTATCAAAACCTTGATCCTGGTGAGCTGGAATACCTTTTGAAAAACAGCAGTGAAAAATGAGAAAAGAAACTTTGTTTTCAAATTGCAAGTCATAAAGTTGCTCTTTGAGATTGAGCTGCATAGAGGTTCCAGGATCTTATTGGCTCCAGGACTTCACACAGGAATGTTGCGATTCTTTTCCCTTTCTTTTCTTTTTTCCTTTCTGTGGTGCTGGAGAGTGAACTCAGAGCCTTCGCACTAAGCTACACTTCCAGCCCTCTTCTAATTTTTATTTCGAGACAGAATCTTGCTCAGTTTTTGAATTGCCCAGGTGCAGTTGCTCTCTTCCTGCCTTAGCCTCCTAGAGACCTAAGACTGCAGCTGTGCCCCACAGCACCTGGCTAACACAGGATTTCTCATGTCATCCCCTTGCCCGTAAGTGAATAGCAAACCAATCCCTGGGAGCGCCTGCTACTCTCCCCCTTCACACTCTACTCCCAGTTCAGAGGCTTGGCTTTACCCATTACCTATGCCTGGAAATTTACTTCCCAAGATGTCAATTTATCTCCTAATATCTCTAATTCCTTTACCCTTTCTAGTCACACTTCTACTTGCTCGCTCCAATATTCCTTTTTTCTTGAGGCTGTGTGTGTTGCTTGGGATCAAACCTAGGGCTTGGTGCGTGCTTGGTGAGCATTCTACCTCTGAGCTGCATTCCCGTTCCTGTGAGATCTAATATTTAACACTACTGCTACTGTTTGTCTTTCACTCTAAGTCCTATCTTACTTCCCTTCTAACAGATGAGCTAATAGAGTCATAGACCAGGAGTTAACTAATTCAATCTAAGTTGTTTTTCCAATTTTTCATCATTGTACCACTTTACTAGATACCTCTATACACATGTCTTGTAGCCATCCTCTTATTTTCTCCCAAGGCAATTTTCTAGGTGTAGACATCCTAGATCCAAAAATATATATTTTCTCTGGCTTCATGTTTTAATACTGCTAGCATCAATGGCAGAGGGAGTAAATGAACAATGACTCTAAGAAGGGAGAAGGACCACGTGAGAATGCAAATTTCCACTTGCATCATTGAATTGACATGGAGGTTGGACTGAACATCTTTCCTAGAAATCTATCACCTCTTTCTCCTTATCAAAAAGTACCCTGCTGGGTCCCTTAGAAAGGGAACAACTCTTGCCGGGTGCAGGGTGGCATTGCACACTTGTTATCCCAGCTACTTGTGAGGCTATGGCAAGAGGAATACAAATGTGAGGGCAGCCTAAGCAGCTTAGCAAGACCCTGCCATAAAATGAAATATAAAATAAAATAAAATAAAATAAAGTAGTAAGCTGGGAGTGTAATTCAGGGCTCCCTGTGTTCAATTCCCCATACTGAACAAAAGGAAAGAAAGAAAGAAAGGTAGAAAGAAAAAAGAAAGGAAGGGAAAGGAAAGAAGGGAAGGGAAAGGCAAGAAAGGGACAAGAAGAGAAGAGAAAAGGAAAGAAAAGAAGAGAAAAAAGAAAAATCTGTTCACCTCAGCAGATTTGCTCCTGATTGGCCGCTGTCCCTGGGACATGCAGCCTGCAGATGAGAAGAAAGGTGGTGACCGCCTGGGCTGCTTGTCCTCGCTTTGAGGCTTCTTGTGTCCACCTCTCTGCAGACTTCCTGACAGTGGTCTGCCTGGTGGGGCTGGGGCTGGGAGCCTCTCTCACCTGTGTGCAGCAGGGGCTTTAACAGAGCACAGAACTGATCCAAATAACCACTTCTTAGTGTCCCGTAGTTAACATGTTAACCCTGTTCTTCTTTTCTTTGCTTTGCTTTTCTTTGCTTTTCTTTCTCCCTTTCGTTCCCTTCCATTCCTCCCCTCCCCTTCCTTCCTTCTTTCGTAGTGCGGACATCACATATGCTAAACACACACTGTACTACAGATCTATACTCTCAGCCCAGCACTGCTCTTTCAGAAAGCAAAATAAAACCACATGCTTGGAGGATCTAAATGCTAACTTTAACTAGAGAGAGAGAGAGAGAGAGAGAGAGAGAGAGAGAGAGAGAGAGAGAGAGAGAGAGAGAACTAATTTTTATCCCTTTCAGTGGATTATTAGCGCGAATGATAATGGAACCTTTGGTTTTTTTCTTTTTCCTTTTTAACAGTTGGAGGGATCTGTACTGTGATTCAGACAAAGGCCAAGACGACAGCAGATGAGTGGGGTGAAAACTACTTTCTGATAGGCCCACATTTTGAGCACAATATGAAGACTCAGGTGGAACCGTGTGAACCGTTGAACGCAGCTGTCCGACGAGCGATGGACGCCATGAATAAGCACGGCTGCCAGGTAAAGGATACTGAGCTCAGCGACCCGCAGTAAACTCTTAGGTGAACACAGATGGCAACATACAGAATCTCACGAGAGAAGACCACTCACCTACTTAGGGGAGAGGAGCAGGTTTGTGAAAAAGATGACACATTCTGTTTTAACTGGATCGCGTTTGATACCCTTTGTGAAAACCAAAGGTGAACTAACAGAAAGATGGTTTTGGAGCTCAGCAGAAGGTAAAGGGTAGGAAAGTCTTTGAGGAAGACATTTGTATCTGAATTGTAGATGAAGTCAGAGGGGTTGCTAAAATTATTCAGTAGTACTTTACAGCCAAGGAGAAAAGTTTTGAGCCAAACTTTGGAGAATATCAACATGTTACTTGCTTTAAAGGGAGCCAGAAGTTGCTAAATAGAAGCAAATTAGTGATGTAAAATGGAGGATGTCTAAGTCCTAATTCTTTTTCTTGGAGGGGTGTAGTATTAGGGATTGAACTCAGGGCCTTCAAACTGGACTAATTCCCAGCCATTTTTTATTTTTTATTTTGACATAGGACCTCCCCGAGTCACTATGTTGCCCAAGCTGGGCTCAAACTTTCAATCCTCCTGCGTCTGGAGGTAGGGATTATAGCTGTGTGCCACCATGCCTGGCTCTAAATCCTAATTCTTAGAATCTGTGAATATGTTACATTATGTAGCAGAAGGGACTTTATAGATATGATTATGCTATGCATGCTGAGATGGGTGATGATTCTGAATCATCTAAGTGGGACAAATGTAAGCGCAGTGTCCTCATAAGAGGAAATTAATAGAATTAGCATCAGAGAGGAGATGCAACAGTGGAAGCAGAGGCTGGAGAGTTGGACTTTGAAGACGGAGAAGGAACCACAAGGAATGCAGGTGGCCTCTGGGAGCAGGAAAAGTCAAGACAGCAGACTCCTCCCTAGGGACTACAGAGGGAGTTCAGCTCTGTCCATATGTTGACATAACCTTAAAGACCCATTCTGGACTACTGACCTCCATAACTATAAGATAGTAAATTTATGTTTTTGCAAGCCCAAGGTTTCTGCTAATTTGTTATGTCTACAGCAGGAATAATGATGATAAGTCAAAAGAGGAGAGAGTTTCAAGTAGGAAAGAAGGATTTAGTCAACAAAGAACTGAGCGGGATCAACTAGGTATGGCAATGTCTGGGCTCTTTGTAGCATTGTAAAGTACAGTTTTATTATTTGTATGGTTTGATTTGGTCCCAGGAACTGAAATCAGAATCTTTCCACTGAACTGTATCTCCACTCTCTAATTTTTTATTTTGAGACAGTGTCTCACTAAGTGACTAAGTTGCCCGACCTGGGCTCAAACTTGACATCTTCTTGCCTCCACTTCCCAAAATGCTAGGATTACAGGTGTGTGCCTCCATGCCTTGCTATAAGTATAGTTTTATGGAAGAGGGAAACATTAAAGAGGATTGCTAAGGTTAAGAAATGAATCAGTGTTAAGAACAAAGATCCAAAGTAATATTGAAAGGACCATTCTTCCACCCTTTTACTGAAACAGGAAGTAAAGGTTGAATAAAAATAGTTGAGGAAGAATTCAGATGGCCTTACCCATTGTTTTAGATGATCTTTCTGAAGCAATGATTAAAAGCCATATTGGGAGGCAAATATTGATGAAATAAGAGAACTTGTAGACAGTCTTAGTTACTTTTCTTGTTGCTGAGACAAAATACCTGGCACTCAAAGTTAAAGGAGGATAGGTTTATTGTAGCTCACAGCTTGTAGAGGTTTCATTTCATAATTGACTGGCTCCAAGGCAGGTTGGCATGTCAGATGGGCATCACAGAGGATAAACAGTTCATGGTGGGCAGAAGGCAGTGAAGTAGCAAGCAACAAGGGACAAGCTGTGACAACAGCAGACCTCTTTCTGTCCCTTATATTCTATCCAGTATACATGCCCGTAAGACAGGTAGCACTCACACCCAGAGTGAACCTTCCCATTATCCACACCCAGAACTATGCCAAACCAATAAGTGGACTAATTTAGCAATCACACACTCTTAATCCCAGCACCACACACGAAATCCCAGCATCACATACTATAGAGCTAGCCACATCTGAAAAGTCCCACCTATGAATGCATGAGGCTTTGGGAGGACATCTAGACACAAGCCATGATGACTTTTCCAGAAAAGTGTTTAAGGAGTTTGCAAAAGAATTTCTGGACATCTCTATAGTGTAATCAGGACTTCTTAGTAACACAAATACACTTTACTTTCTCATGCAGCAATCAACAGCCTGAATGAAAGTACAGGGAATTGGATAAGTGGGGATCCAATATGATTGCACTTCAGCATTCATGTCACAGGCAAATGGGGCCAGTATTGGAAGGCATTGTGAGACTGATTGAATTAATGATTGAACTGTTAGACTGTAGTGTCTAAAATGCATAGGAAAGAAAACAAAATCAGAAAAGAGGTGATAATGTAGGAGAAAATGGAGAGTTCCAGGAAGTGGAAGTCTTGAAAAACAAAAGGAAAGAAGAATATACACAGTAGGAGAAACAGTGAGAGAACAGGAATTAAAGAAGTTGTGATCTGGTAACAGAATAAAGTGAAATGTTTCAGAGGAGGAACAGTTCTGCTTTTGACAAGGATAAGAATGTAGCATGAGTTTGGGTGGCTGAAATCAGGTGGACATGAAGTTCTTTGATGTGAATAAGGACAAACAAGTATGGGGTAAGTGTTCAGGATAAAAAAGCCTGAGACATTGCCTAAGACAAGGTCACAAAGAAAGCAGGTAAATAGTAAGAAAAGAAACAGGAGTGTATTTGGATGGCATAAGTTTCAAAAATATTTTATATACAAATAAAGAATATGGCTTTAAATTCTTAGTGAATTTTTAAGAAATAGTAACTTTCATTCTTAGGAATACAGCTTTTGAGGGTGAAAAAATGAGAAATCTCAGGGTGTTTGCATGGGTAGTGGGGTCTTGGGGGTACATGCAAGCTTTAAGGGGCAGAATGTGTGGTGTACAAGGTCCCGTTAAAGTCCCTGAGAGCAACAGGAAAATATTTCATAGTGAATGTTAGGAGAGTGATAGGAGTGTGCATGTTGTTCTGTTTGGATACAAGTAAATGAAATATTAGAAAGGGTTGTTGGAGAAAGAGGAAGATGAGAAGCGCAGTGGTACTGTCTGCTCTCAAGATCCTAAATACAGGAGCTATTTCACAGCAATCAGTTTGGCCAGAGATTCCAAGTGCCTCAAATCTCTCTGTGCTTGCCCAGCTGCTGTCTTTGTTCTCAGCAGCCCTTAAGAAATTAAGAGAAAATCAAGTCATGCTATTACCTTGAGAGGAATGGAACCAAAGCCAGTCCCTTGGAATGTAGCTAAACAGATTGGGACATTAGAAGTATGTTTCAGTTCTTCCTTTTGAATTTCTATTGTAATGATGTTTCCGAGTGGCAGCTGAGAACTGACTGCAAGTCAAGACAAGCTAGCTTGTATTTTCTCTATTTTCAGCACTTCTCTATTGTCTTAGTTCATTGGATCTTATGTGTCATATTAGGCATTCTAGATAGTTATTGCATAAATACATGAATCCATGAATGTCCCAAAGAGAAAACTGAAAATTGAACCTCAAGGGGGAAGAGTGGCATGATAAATGCATCTTAAAATGTAAACTAAATAATGAGGATCACCAAAGGTTGGTCAGGCCTGGGATGGGGTGGATTATCACCATATCTGCCTGAGCTTCATGAGAGGAAATTATCTAATTGGGTTTCCAACCTCTGTGAAATTCAGCCTTGGGTGGGGTCCTTCATGTCAATATATAAGCAATGTGGCCACATTTAGGTTCTGAGAGAGGACTGGATCCACCACAAGAAAGGCTCATAGCTAAGTTCTAAAAAGGATTTGAGGTGGTTTTTGATGTTGTCTATTATGTAATAGGATAATAAATATAAAATAAAAGGCAAAAGAACATGCAAATTACTACAAAATATGAAGACCAAAGAGAAGTTAAAACTTAGATATACAAGTGACTATGTGAATGAAATTGGAAAAAAGTTAAGATAACTAATGCATCAAAATTTGCAGAAGATCAAGAAGGAATCAAGAAGTCAATTTTAAGAATGTAATAGGATTAAGCTTTAAGCTGGTAGATTAAAAATGATAATGTATTTGGGGCAACATTTAACTAAGATCTCTACAGCAACCATATTGAGAAACATTTTGGGTCACATTTATTTTGGAAGCGAAACATTCATTGGCACATTTTAGATATACATAATGATCACATTCATCACAGGGAATTTGTACCTGGACATGATCTATCTCGCTTCTTTTCCCATTCCCCTCCCCTCCCTTCAACCTCTCTTTCTCTCCTTATTTACAAAAACTTTGTTTCCATTTTTTTACTTCTAATTTTTTTCTTATTCCTTCTTCCCCCCTCCCCTTCGCTTGTTCCCCTCCCCATTTGAACATTTTCTTCTCATTTTCCAATATCTGTTACACACTTTAGCCCTTATTTCCACTTTCGGTTTCTCACATCAGAGAAACAATGCAGGATTTAAACATGTGTGGCGGATTTATCTGACTTCAGAGTATGGTCTCAGGGTGCATCCATTTAGCTAGAAATGTCTCGAGTTTATACTTCTTTATGACAGAGTAGTACTCCATTGTAGTAAAAAAAAAAAACCACATCTTCTTCATCCATTCATCAGTTGATGGGCATTTGGGCTATTCCAAAGATTTAACTATTACAAACTGTGGGTCACATCTTTTTAAATATGAGCAGTAAGGTAAATCATACACATCTGCCCTCAGAAAAATCTTTTCTGTCAGAAAACATTATAAGTCCTATTTCATGGAGGAAACGAAGTGACACAGTAAATGTTATATCCAGGTACAGGTTGTCAAAGGTACTGAACATTTTATCTCATGACTCTATCCAAAAGCATGAGCTATAATGTTAGACTCTATCGCCATGAGCTCAAGGCCACAGAAGGGTAAGGAGAGACATAGAAAACAGAGGCTACATGATCTAGATACGTTGCTTTTTAATGACTAAATTTAAAGGAGAGCTGAGATTGTAGAGGAGTGGATGTGAGCCCTCCTCTACCTTCAGGCTCAAACCTGCAAAGTTATCACTATCACTACTTTTTTCTACATAGCTTACTTAATCTGATGTTGAGCCATCAATGAAGTTGATATTCTCTCAGCTCGAACACATTTTCGTGCCCTGATTACTCACTTCTCCCCGTGACAGGTGCGTTTCGGAAGGTGGCTGATAGAAGGGAGTCCCTATGTGGTGCTCTTTGACATTGGCTACTCTGCCTGGAACCTGGACAGATGGAAGGGCGACTTCTGGGAAGCGTGCAGTGTTGGCATCCCTCATCACGACCGGGAAGCCAATGACATGCTCATATTTGGGTCTTTAACTGCCTGGTTCTTAAAAGAGGTACTGTTTACTGTACAGGGGCATAACAAAGGAGTGGATGGTGGTGTTGCCCAGCAACATTAGATTAAGTGCATTTTGAGATCACATCATTATTGATCTTCCTAATACATTTTACAGGAAGTCAAAGAAATGTCCGGCATTCTTCAACTGAATGCTAGCCTTTGGAACAAAGTAATAATAATGTTTTTCATTTTTAGTTTTAATTAATTAATTTATTTATTTATGGTACCGGGGATGGAACTCGGGACCTTGCACTTGCGAGGCAGGCAGAGGAACCACTGAGCTAAATCTCCGGCCCTGTTTTTTAATGTTTATCTCATAAAAGATTTAAATGGGATGCTGTATCTAAATATCCAATTCTGTTACCTGTTGAATAGATAATATACAGTAGATTCAAAAGAAAAAGGTATAGCATATGTCATGCACCAAACACATGAATTCCAGAATCTTGGGAGTAGGAAAAAATATTTAAAATATTCTGTTTTGTTCATACATGCGGGCTTCTGCAACTGAAGTGGCTTCTAGATATTTTCACTATTTGTTAAGAGCAGAAAAGTTCTCAGCAGTTACTTAGGAGTGCTTTGCAGTAGAATATTATGTATCTATAGATATAGATAGATAGATAGATAGATAGATAGATAGATAGATAGAGGTATACATGCAAGACCATGCCTGCCTGTAATCTCAGCACTCAAGCTGAGCCCAGCCTGGGAAATTTACCGACTTAATGAAACTCTCTCAAAATTAAAAATAAAAAAAAAGAGATGGGGATGTGGCTCAGTGTGAAGGCCCTGGGTCCAATTCCCTCTAAATAAAATGAAACGAAGGAAGGAAGGGAGGGAGGGAGGGAGAGAGAGAGAGACCAGTTTTTATTAAATATTAGAATCCTCTGCAAACTTGAAAAAATACAAATTCCTACCCCAAGTCTGGCATACTGAATAGATTATCTGGAGACAGGATCCAGATTGGAGGCTTTAGCCATCTTTCCTGGTGATTTTGGAGAACATTAAGTGTGATAAACACTGTCTTATGTTCACTCTCCAAACTTTCCAGCTGTCTGTTCAGGCTGCTTAAGCTGCAGTGTTTCACTATTCTCTTCAACAATAAAGTGGCCAGCTATCAGGAGGGTGCAGTGTGAATGTTAATTGGGTGGGGGTGAAACAAGCTAACTTCAAGGCCAAGAGCCTGATATCCAACCTGGCTCGATCGAGCCCTTTAAATTGCAGTAAAACGTGCAGATATCACAACTCCTCTTATGCTGTGGGCAATCATCAGGGTCAGGCGTGACCAAAAACTTTTCTAAACATGTTTTTTCTGATGTAGGTGACGGACCATGCAGATGGTCAACATGTTATTGCCCATTTCCATGAATGGCAGGCTGGAACTGGGCTGATTCTTTCTCGAGCCCGGAAACTCCCTATTGCCACAATATTTACAACCCACGCCACATTACTTGGGAGGTATCTGTGTGCAGCAAATGCTGATTTCTACAACCACCTGGATAAGGTAAAGAGTCCTTCCTCCTCCTTTCTCTTCTACCTTTCTTTAGGACCACTGAAGCTGAAGGATGGAAACTATTGATCTTTACATTTCATCTGCCATCCAGATGGCAGAAATGCCCTTTTAGCTAATCAGTATTCATGAAGAAGCTTCCCCTGGGGTAACAGACAGCTGATACAGTTTAACTGTTCAGAGTTCAAAGGAATATAAAGGAGAGAGGACTCATTTCTGTCTCGCTTTGGAGCAATAGACCCAGAGGGGTATGGTGGGAGTGGGAGGTGGTGTGAACAAAGGCTGGGGTCCTCTTCCACCCTATGGTTTGGTAAATGCTGTGGAGATGCTGAATTCACACCCAGCTCGGAGTAGCAGGTAGAGAATAGTGAATCTAGGCACACAAAGGTGTCCCGGAGCCTTATTTCCTAGGTTGATAGGTCAGATTTTTCCTATAGTTCTCCAATGGACAGATGGGGTTCTTGTGGAGTCAAGTAAGGCAGTAGTTATGGAAAACAGGGATCAGGCCCTTTGTGATGTTGCTCATTTTAGGAGACCACATAATTCCATGACTGCAGATCATTCTTTTTTAAAATTTCCATCAGTTAAATTAGAATAACAAAAAAGCATACCTTTTAAATTATCCCGTAAACATCATGAGAAATGTATTTGAATGCCATAATTTCAGTTTTGCAGATTTTGCATCTGTATACCAAATTGATTTAGCATGCAAAGATTCAGTTTCACTATCAGGAAAATTAGGAAGTTGAAAATTTGACTTCTTTAGAAGTTGAAAAGTTGACTTTCCCGGTTTAATAAGCTTCCAGGTATCTCTTCTTGGCCTTTTGGCTAAGATCAAGTGTGAAAAGCTTCCAGGATCCTATGAAACAGAATGCGCGTGTGCATGTGCATGTGCGTACACATGGGTGTGCATTGCCCGAATGATAATCTGATAATGGTATCACAAAGTTATACTATTATCTCAAGCACACTTCGGGTGCAACAAATTTCTCTCTGAAATAGTTTAACATTTGTACAACGGCGAGTGGTCCTAATGGGAGTTACCTTACCAAAAGCCAGCTAGGGCTGGGGATTTAGCTCAGTGGTTCCACTGCCTGCCTTGCAAGCTCAAGGACCCGAGTTCGATCCCTGATACAAAAAAAAAAAAGCTAGCTAAACCAAAGGTCAAATTATAAGCATAAATTGTACATGGAAAATAAAGGCACTGAGGAATTCAGAAAGCCAGGAGGTCAGTGAAATTATCTCATGGTGTATGATCATGGCAGACTAATAAGGCCAAACCAGTGATCTGTGATAAGCTCTGCATCGTGTTTCCTAGAGAACACACTTTGATCTTTGTGAAAGAGAAAATATTAGATTTAGAAATATAAGATTTAGAATTTGAGTGATGCATAACACTAAATTGTGGACCTTAAAGATTTTTGAAAGTTCAACATAAAGAATGACTCTTAATGTAGCCTTTGCTATAGGACTCAAGATCAGTTTCTCTAAGTTCTGGCTCAGGCAAATAAACATAGGGAAAATATGAAAGCAAGAGTAAAAGAATTTAACTTTTGTAAAAGCAGAAAGATTAGAACTATTTTAGCAGTTACTCAAGTTGTAACTGCTAAAAATTAAACCTTTTGTTACATCAATCCACAAGGACCTTGATGTTGGCTGAAGGTTTTAGTAAAAGTCACTAACTAAAAATGCATTTCAGTCAGCTTATAAATTTTTTTCAGAACTTCCAGAAAGATATTTCCAAAGTCTCTTAACTCCTACCATAGATCAGTTATAAAGGATGGTTGAAAAATAATGGTGAATGTTTATATAAAAATTTTATTATGGTAAAAGACACATTACCATTAATCCCTCTCAAAATATTTTTCCCTCACTTCAAACATACTTATCCCATCGCTCTTGCTACTTTCTGAAGCACTTCTATGTGTCCTCTTTCATGAATGTTTTTTGAGATGTGATCAAAATTCAGTGAATGGTGCTCCCAAGTGCCACCTAAGAAAAGACAGGCTTGAAAAACCTTATCCACCTTATTCACTGGATCTGGCGCTGTTTGACTTCTGGCTCTTTCCCAAAATAAAAATGATTTTGAGAGGTAAATATTTTGAATCTATTCAGGACATTGAGGCAGCCATGATAACAACTAAAGACAAATCACAAGAGGACTTCTAGAACTGTTTCAAAAAATGGCAAGAACACTGAGATAAGTATGTTCAGAGCCAGGGGGAGTATTTTGGGGAGGATTAATGGCATGTGTCTTTTATTGTAATACATTGTTAAAAATTTAAATATGGTATTTTTCAATCATACCTCATATCACACAGACTATAATGTGTACATATACTTTTTCTTTTTAAAAAAGGCTTGTTCTTTCGTATTATCCAGTTTTTTCTCAATAGTAACAAAATTTTCTCTATGGAAATTGAGGACAATGCTCTTAGGTATTAGAAAATGAGAGAGGAAGACTTAGAATATTGAGAGATGGTTACTCTTTAACCAAATTTGGAAACACTAGTTGATTTCAATTACAGAGTTATTTTCCTCTTTCATTGGACTGTATTTTACTAATGAATAGATACTTTTTTATTTGTTCTTTTATATACATCCAGAATTCAATCAATAGTTACAAATACACATGGAAACATAACAAAGTAAAGTTCATTGTCAAAAGAACTATGTCTACTTGGGTGCCATATGTTGGCAATATTAGCGAGAGATTTCACCATCCTATCATAAATATGCAGGAAGGTGGATCTCCTGCATAAATAGCATGAAAAGAAGCAGGTGGCCATGTATACTACAGACTTCGAAGACAAGGGAAATCCACAAGAGAAGGAAAAGCAGAAGCTGCCTACGTGCCTGATCTCACAAAGACCTGTCATGGGATCACCAGACTCCTAGAATTTTCCCTATATTTTTGAATCCTCTGTTTATTCATTTAGAAAACCTATCCACCCATCTATAAAAGTCCAAATGTCAAATGAGAGGTTGTCCGTGAAATACTATATGCAATAGCAATAATAGTAGCTAAAGTCATTGAGAACGTTCCATGTGCTGGAAACTTTTAAAAACATGTGACACGCTATCTCATTTGAAGTTCATAAAATCTTAGTGAGTTCAGAAACATTTCATTCTTCATTCCAGAATTTTCTTACACATAGGTTTGGTCTTTATTGTACCTCTAAATAACCCTACGAGAGGCTGGGGATGTAGCTCAGTGGTGCCATGCCAGCCTCGCAAGCACAAGGTCCTGAGTTCGATCCCCAGTATCAAATAATAATAATAATAATAATAACAACAACAACAATAATAACCCTATGAGAACAAAGGCTCAATTCCTGGCCTCGTCTTCAGGGACCTTAGTGATCTGGCCCTCTTGTATCCTGTCAGTTTGAGTCTTCATTCTACATCCAGTGCCACAGTCACATTAGGCAGCCTATTTTCTGCACGCACCATAGAAGTTTCTAGGAAAGATAATTTTCAGCCCCAAATAACTTTCCCCATATTAAACTTTCATGTTCCAGTCTAAATGCCCTTTTATTCATCCAACCAATTTGGAGATACAAAAACATAAACGCCATGGTTCCTAATCCTGAAAATCTTTCTTTCCAGAGCTGAGACTGAAATACGAACACATATTGTAGAATATGACACACTTTCTTCTATCCTCAGAGAGAGTGAATCCATCTTACTCTGATTCTATACTTTATTCGGGTACATTTTTAATTTGCCTGTTTTCTACCTGGTTTCCCACTAACTTATAAGCTGTACCCTCTAAGGTACAGATACACATAAATTACTCCAGCAATGTTGCTGAGCAAGAGACTTAGAATGAATGAGACTGGTCATGCAGAGTATTTAAGGAACTGCTGATGCAAGGAAGCCATAGACAGCTGATTCACACATTTTCAGAGAGATAATTGCAAATACTATAATCATGAAAGAATGTTCCAAGGGTTTCCTTGTCCTAGACATGAGAATCATATTCTCAGTCTTTTTTTTAGTATTCTCCTCTCTTTAATGCAGTGATTATTGGCACTGACTTGTTGATAGAACTGGAATCTTAATGATACAAAAGCGGGTAAGCGTATAGCTTGGGAGTCAGACTGATGGGATAAGTTTACACATCTGCTAAGATATGAACAGGAATGTGACCTTGGACAAGCTTCCTGACCTCTGAAATGTTTGATTTTCTCCTCTGCAAAAGGAAATATGTGTCTTTGTGCTTCATGGGAACATAAATACAATATTGTGCTTAGAAAAGTGCCTAGCACAGTGTTGGAAAACAATGTATTGATAAAATGCCAGAGATGTTCTATCCTATTTTTCATAAGATATTGCTAGTTTCTTACAAAGCTGAGAGAAATGACACCCAGTAACTAAGTGAAATGTCAGAAGCCCCCAGTGATTACCAATTATTTAAGCGATTGTTAGGGGTTTGATTTTTTTCTTTTCTGAGTTAAGATGCTCAGAATAATATATGATTTCACAATTGACTATATACCATCTAATTAAAGTAACTATACTCTATTATTTTAAAGTGGAAAAAGTTAACCATGGAAAAGCATTTACCTTTTTTCTCTTTCAATTTCCCTTTCAGTGACTTGGGGTTAAGACTGAATATCTTTATATCAGGTTTCAACTTCAATGTCAGCTTTGTTTCATTGTTTATGGAAAAATATGATGAAGGCCTTAAACAAAGTAATTAACCCTATATTTATAATATTCAGGATAGGTAAAACTATAATCAAAATGCCCCAAATTTAAAAATTCTACGTGATTCTAGAAAAGTGGAAACATCATTTACTTAAGGGGTTAAATAACAGTTTAGAAGAAGAAATGAAGTAAACAATATAATGTACAGGTACAAATCCCCTATGATGAATGTATACCTAAGATGTACTAATAAACCTAATGAATAAGTGTACTAATACACTTAATAAATAAAAAAATTGAAAACATAGTTAAGTATTTTAGCAATGGTTTTCATGAAAATTCATCAGCACTTTTTTTTGCATTGATAAGATCTTACACAGCCTGGAGACAATAAATTCTCAGAGTAGGTGACTTTGCTTTGCTTTTGGAGAAGTATCACTGTAAGCAAATATGTGTTTGTTTTAAACAGTTTAACATTGACAAAGAGGCCGGGGAAAGGCAGATTTACCACCGCTACTGCATGGAGCGGGCATCTGTTCATTGTGCTCATGTATTCACCACAGTTTCTGAAATAACAGCAATTGAGGCAGAACATATGCTGAAGAGAAAGCCTGGTAATTATTGTGCCTGAGTTTGTCATCTGTCTTTCAATTGCGAATGACATTAAATATGTTTTGCTTTTTCAAGCATGAAGTAATAATTACAGGAAAAAAAATGTATTCACTATTGCCGCTCAACTCTTTACATGTATTCCATTCTTAATTTCAGTAGGCTTGCAGTGAAACCAACATAAGCTATATCTGGAACACAGTAAGTTCAATCTGTATTTGTTGAATAAGTGAGTTATGCTTGAAATGCCTTCGGTAAGGGCAGTTGTCATAGCAACTTTGCATGTGTGAGAAAAATGACTTGACATGTTTTAAAAAACGAAAGGAAAGATACGAGAAATTTTTAGAGATTATCCCAGCCTTTCCTCTTGTAATATTGCCTCATTGATGCCATTTGGTGGAAACCTGTTGTTTTACCTCTCTCCAGACCTCTTTGAAAGTTTTTCTGGAAACTATTCCCAAACCAAACCAGAATCTGCAATGCCAAGAAGCGCGCTCGTCAACACGATCCTATCACTTGGCCTCAGCTGATTGGTTCAAAAGTAGACACCTGACAAATTGGACCAACAGGAATGCTCCCATAGGAAGGAGTCTAAACAGACTCACGTCTGTTTGAATGCATCCTTGTGGAATGGAACATTGAAGCTGTTGGCAATGTGCATATTTATATTCTGTTCCATTGGATACAAGAAGGTTAAATTGCAGTGAGCAGAAACAGAGAGGAATCCTTAGGCTCTTAGAAGCAATTTAGTAATTCCTGAGGCCTAGCTGAATCTTTGCCAGGAGACACTCCACCCTTCTATTAACAAACTCTTCATTTTGCTCTTAAGCCAATGTTAGAAGATTTCTATTATTTGCAACAAGATGGTCCTAATTAATATATCTTTGCTTAATTCCTGTGGTCTTGCCTCTAGGTATTGTCTTTTCAGATACTACTTGAATGTCCAGAAGAGGTATTTCAAGGTATTAGATAGAATAGAAACAAACAAACAAAATAAGAATCCAAGTAATGAATAGTGGCAGCATAATCATCCATGCTATGGTATTCTTTTTTCTCTCCAAAAGTTCCCTTGGATTTTGGATTCTTTTGGATTCTCACACTCATGCCTCTCACAGTTTATGACTTCAATATGCTCATTTCTCTCCTGGCCCTTCCTTTTTTCTCAGTATCTTTTCCTAGCTTACAAATAGGCGATTTTTTTCTATTCTAAAATGAAATTTCTCTTGACGCTGCCACCCTCAAATGTCTATACAGTCTCCTCCTTTCTCTTGTTAACAGCCAAATATCTTGAAAGACTGAAACCACTGTTTCTATATTCACTTACTCTCTAGAAGCTTAGATTCTGGCTTCTATCCTCCAACACTAGCTTGAAATTGCTTTTCTAAGAAATCATCAAATTCAGAATTCTCTGATTTTTTTTAATGTTCCTTGATATTTCCTGACATTAAAGGCAAAAGATGTCTCTCTTTTTCTTATTTTTCATTACACTGCAAATACTGAGTTCCCACTGGTATGATTATTTTCTGATGTGTCTAATATCTCTTCTACTTTCTTCTGTCTTTTAAAAGTAGGCATTCTCGGCTGGGGATTATCTCAGAGCTAGAGCATTTGCCTAGCATGAATGAGGCCTTGGGTTCAGTACAACAAACAAGCAAAAAACAGAAATCAAACAAATGTAGGCACTCTCCAAGATTATGCTAGATTTTGTTTCTCTATTGACTATTTTCTTTAATTTTTGTTTTCTTATCGTTACAGCTACAGAGTAGTGGTGAAAATCACAGGCTTGATGCTAACTTTCTGAATTCAATATCAAAAATAATTTTGAGTTGAATACGTGTTACTAGCTGTGTAACATTGTACAGATTACTTAAGTTCCCCATGTCGTACCTGAGTAATGTGGATGGCAGTGCTATTTGTTATGAATACATGAAATACATGAAAAGAACTCAGCTCAGTGCCTGGTCCACTGTAAAGGTTCAGAAAAAGCTAGCAATGATTATTTTATATGGCTCATTATTTAGATTTTCCTACTAGCTAGTTTCACCTGCAAGTTCTAACAGAACTGTAAACACTGTAATCTAGTCCACTTTCAGACTACTGGTAGAATCTCATGGTGGCTTTGACTGAAATTGTGAAATCTTTGAATGCTTTGAGGCTCAAGAAGGTAAATAGACTTTTAGTAGATGATTAAACACAAAAAGTTACCCAAGAACACTCTAAAAAGAAAAGAAGGCATCATGTGGCATAACTATGATTTTGCATTCTCTAGTTTTCTTGAAGTTATCCACAATTAAGAGTATAATCACAACTATAATGCTAGGGCATGTTCCAGATCAAGAAGCAAGTGTTGGCTAAGTTAAAAGTTTACATAGCACCAGCTACCTAAAAAATAAATCATTATATACTAACTGCAGAAGACTTATTTGTTGCTGTATTATTATGCTTTTACCATCAATTTGACTCACTGTGTAATGCTGAAAAGATGACAGTTTGTTTATAATATTGGAGAGAAGGCAGTAGTATATATGTATTACTTATGAACAGTTGAATACAACTTATGCCTTAAGTGTCAACTTTTAAAATTGTCATTTGCCCTTTAAGATAGTTATTAGTTTTGCAAATATTGATTTCTGAGCCATGCTAATACCTTAATCTGAACTTTAATGTTTTTCCACTGTGTTGGTGTTACCCAACTTCAACGAGGTGTTTAAGACCATTGTTTTCTACGTGGGAACAATAGAAAGAAATTAGTAGTTAATGTTGCTTCCAGGGAGAGAAAGAAAACTAGGGAACAGAAGTAGAAAGGAGACATCTCAAGTTATATATTCTGAGTTTTTGAAATTTAAATGATATGAGTGTATGCCTTATGTAAATTAAGTATTTATGCAACCAATTGTACTCATATAAATTAGTTATACTACTTAATAAAATAAAATTGGGAGCATTACCAACTGTACAGGGAAGCTACTCACAAACTGAAGTTTCCCTTGTTTGTGTAGTAAGCATTGGGTGGGTCCTTTTAAACAGTATTTGTGATGCTAACTTTACATTAGCACTTTTACTCAAGAGAAAATTGTCACTATGCAAGAGTGCCCTTATAATTCTGTATATATGAAGGAGGCACAAAAATATTTTTAAAGCTTTTTTCTTTTTTTAATATGCAAGTTACTTTATATACATTAGTTCTTTGACTGCTTTAAGCTAACAATGTTAAAATGTCAGCATGTATAATCAAGGGTGTCTACATAAGATTCCTAGGTAGAGATTTTTTGTGTATGTGTATTAGTAATATAGAATAATGAAAAATGTTTCAGCATGTAAGTACATGCATTTAACATATTCTATTTTCATCCCTTTTTATCCTCTCTTTTTTCTCCTGTCTTCTTATTTCAAAAGCCACATAAACAGTGGTGCTAGAACCAGCTCACACTAGCTTGCAAGAACTTCAGGATATTTGTGAACTGGTTGCCAAATGTAGCTTTTATTAAACATTGAATATATAAAGTTATAATTAAATAAGTATGTAAGTACTCAAAATATTTCACTTCCTAATAATTTTACTATGTTTTACTATGCTCTATCCATATATATATAATTTGTATAGTTGAAATACTATAATGCTATCACTTTAAAAGTATATGTTCAGGACAGACACAGTCTTTTCAATATTTATAGATATTATGTAAAGGAGTAGTCAGCTCTCTGTATCTGAGGGCTCTGCATCCACAGATCCAACTAATCATGAATCAAAAATATACAGAAAACATTGTGTCTGTCTTGAACATAAACTTTTTTAGTCTCATTATTTCCATGAAAATACAATGCCACAATGCTGTCATAGCGTTTCCATGTATTAGGTAGTATACAAAGTCTAGAGATGATTTAAAGCACACAGGAGGATGATGTGTAGGTTACGTGCAGTTCTATACCATTTTATATAAGGACTTGAGCAACCATGGACTTTGGTATCCATGGGGGTCCTAGAGCAAACTCCCCATGGGATAATTGTATGGCAAATGCCTGCTTACTTAGTCATAAAATCATAAAAATTAGTTTTTTAAATAAGAAATGACCAAGAAGACTGAGTTGATTTTATAGAACCATGTCAAGAGAATAGGTTCTTTCTTTCTTTCCTTCTTCCTTCCTTTCTTTCTTTTTTTGAACTCACTAGGGATTGAACTTAAAGTCTTCATGTTGAGCTATAACCCCAGCTCTTTTATATATTTATTTAAAGACAAGATCCAGAGTGCTGGGATTACAGGCATGCAACAACACACGTGGCTAAAAATATCCTTTTAATTATAAAAGATTCCTCCATAGAATGTAATATGATTATAGCTCAAATCTCCATTGCAGAACTCTCCATTGTCATGTGCTAGATTTTTATATAGCTTTGTTTTTCTTGTTTTTGTTTTTACTGCTTCGAAATGTGATAACCCCTGTAATCAAATGAGTAAGTAGTTTCCATCACGTTCTCTGAGTAAGCCCTGTCTTTATTGTCATAGACCAATATAATGCAAAACCAAGAATGTTTTCCAATCTGAGCAACAAAATGTTTTGGGCAGAATGAATCAGTTGTATTAGAAAGAAGAAATCAGGACTAGTAAATTATAAAGGAGGGTAACAGGATATATGGATATGAGCAAAATATATTATATGCACTGAAATTTCCCCAAAACGTGAAACTGGGTGGGGTGGGGGGGCAAGGAGAGATGGGGAGGAAAATGATCAAAGTATGTTAAGTGTATGCACAAATCTGCTAAAACTAAACCCATTAATCTGTGTAACCAATTTTTAAAAGTTAAAAAATGTAAGAAATAGGAATGGAAATTTGTATCACTACTCATTATGATTTAGATCAGGTGCTCCTAATTTCTTATTTCAACTAAAAGGTTGAATTCTGAAGTTTTATGAATTTAAAATTCTATGGTAGTCACCAACTAGAAATGTTAATAGACATTTAATAGATTTTTAAACACTTTTAAATGCACTCACAACAGTGCCCCTTCTCAAAGGAGAATTTTGGTGATTTTGCTCTGTTTTTCCAGATGTAGTTACTCCAAATGGCTTGAATGTTAAGAAGTTTTCAGCAGTGCATGAATTTCAAAATCTGCATGCCATGTACAAGGCCAGGATCCAAGATTTTGTTCGAGGTCATTTCTATGGGTATGCTTTCTTTATTTAAAAATAAAATTAGCATGTCATCTTTCAGTTACAGAACAAACAAAATTGTTATGGTGAATGTTTCTTTTTCTTAGCTCCCTTTGTACCCTAACAGGATTCGTGAGTACATCTTGTTGTATTGCTTTTTTTCATTCAAAATTGTGTTGTTTTGTTTTAGTCATCTTGACTTTGATCTGGAAAAGACTTTATTCCTTTTCATTGCGGGGAGATATGAGTTTTCAAACAAAGGAGCTGACATCTTCCTAGAATCCTTATCTAGACTAAACTTCTTGCTGAGGGTAAGAAAAATTCGTGCATGCATGGATGATGATCTTATAAGGAGGATTTTCTTCTGTGGGAAGGGAAGGGCTTTTGGCTTCTTAAATAGTTGTCAAGGGGATACATAATTTTGAAGATTAAAATAGCTTTATCCTGAAAATAGCTCTGCTCTTGCAACTCACAGTTTGCAGTATTACATTGTATAATTGTCTGTGTTATCAAGTATTTGTTAAAAGAGACCCTCACATTATATGTGCTGTGTTTTCAGAAGTCATTATGACATCCCTTTTCTGTTTCTGCAATTTGTAATCAATTGCAGGATAAATACAGAGAAATCAAGCAATGGGAAAGCAAAATGGCACTCGTTCTTTTTAAGCCAGTGAATATGTGCCTTGGATATATCTCAGTAGCAATAAAAGATGTCACTTGAATGTATGAAACTGGGTGTCCTAATTCTGACCCTTAGTATTACATTGAGGCAGCTGTGAGCATGGCCAGCTTGCCCCAAGAGAAGCAGCGCTGCAGAGTAGCACATGCCCATGGCTGCTGGCCAAGCACTACAGCAAGGACTCTCAGAAAGTGCAAAATCAGGAAGGATTTTGCAGACTCAGTTCCTCCCTAACTCACCAGCCAGGCCTACTCCCCAGGCTTAACTGTTTCAAACTGGTAATCTAGGAAGTATGCTACTACAGTTCCTGGAAACACTGAGGAGGGAAAAGGAGGTCCTGACTCCCAGCAGTGTGGAACCAGGTTTTAAGGTGGACCTTAAAAGACGTTCCCAACTAATCCAGCAATAAAACTTTGCCAGAGACAACTACAGAAAATGATACCATGCCATAGCTGTTAATCACAATGATTAGTTTATATTCCAATCTTATCACATGAACATATAGAATAAATAACAGAAAATACCCGTAAGAGACTAGTGTAAAATTTCAATCTTATTAAGACACTGAGACACTCTGGATTGTTTCTGTACTGAGCTCTGTACTATCTTCCAACTAAGATTTTTTTTCTCCTTGGACATAGATTTATCCTTACCTTAGCGCAGATATTGTACCAAGTATGTTAAGAGCTTTGCTAAAAGATTTAAACTAAGGGCCAGGGATTTAGCTCAGTGGTTTCACCGCCTGCTGTGCAAGCACAAAGACCCGAGTTCGATCCCTGGTACCAAAAAAACCCAAAAACCAAAAGATTTAAACTACATTAAGGAAGCAGTGCATCAATAAAAACCTCACCTACACAATAAAACTGAAGGCCAAAAAGATTATTCTGGTATAATCTCATTTCGCATTTCCAAGTATGTGTTCATTCAATAAGCTTTATGAATGAATTCACAATGACATCAGACATATAACATTTCAGGAACATTATCAATAGATCTATCCTTACAGTTGTGAAATATTCATTTTACTTTTCTAAAAACCCCATTGCTTTTATGGTAGATATCAAAGGCAATTACATTGCTTGGAAAAGCTAAAAGCAGGCATTCCTTTTCATTTTGTTTGGTACCGGGGAATGAACTCAGGGTCTTATGCTTGCCAAGGCAGGTGAGGCGCCACTAGCTAAATCCCTGGCCCAAGCATTCTTTTTCCATATAGCACATTTATTCTTTGATAGCATCTTGACTACTCCTGGGATGAATTTCCTATCCTGCGACTTTTGTAGATTTCCTGAATAGACTGTCAGGTCCTATAATGCATGATATATATATATATATATATATATATA